TAGGGAAAGTGCAAACCTCACAGGAAGAAAAAAAGGCAGCCTTTTTTATGATGCTGGGAATTGAGTTAATTTACATGATGTCGTAAATTCACACACAAGAAAGTCAAATTGCTGCTGTATTTTTTTAGGATGGAAGTATTTTTGCTCTGTTTCTTGTGGGAAGTTCCGATCTTTTACTTCGAAGCACTAGGGAGCGTTCTGGTGGCTTTCCCCACGCTCAGCTAACCTATTTCTCCACGGGTGAGGAGCGCTCTGTGAATGGCACACGGCTCAGCTGCAGAACTGGTCAGGAAAGATCTGATTAAACACTTTTGTGCTGAAAAGTGCCAACTCATCAGAATCGAGACCGTCCGCAGAAATGAACTGGGTTCACTGAAACTTTTATCAGAAGAATATTTGTGACAAGTGTATACATGTGTGGGGGGGAGTGTGTCTGATCCCGTACTAGCTACTAGTCTGGTGTTAACGATATGCATTTGACATGGAAGAGATGGCTTTTCCTTCTTGGGGAAAAGCTGGATTTGTTTAGATTTGGATTTGCAAAAGTATAGGGGATTTTTTTCCCCATAGACAAGGCTTTACAATGAAAGGAAGAAGCAATAAAGGAAATAAGGTAAATGAGTTTCAGATGCTTCCATGTGCCTTTCTTCCTTGTTTGCATTTTTAGTAAAAGTTGTTGAAGATTTTCAATGGTGGTTGTAACCGGAGGATTAGGCCAGTGATAACTTGACACAAAACACTAGTCTGTGGTTAAACATTCAGTGCTGTGGTGGGCTGCAAGAGTGTGCACCAAATCCTATCCAGGCATGGCCCCTCTGCATTCATAACTAGCTTTTCTGAGCCTCATTTTTAGACATCACAGTGTGAGGTTTTATGGTGACTTCCCTCTAAAACGCAAAGGGGGCAGATGGCACGAGGCCTCTACTGCGCAATCGTGTGTCATGTTGATATCGGTGACTCTGAGGTATTAAAACAAAAAGGTCTCAAGGGGTGCCTGTTCCTTGCCAAGAGGAAGGCTTAAATGCTGGGTGCTTCCAGCCACACGTGCTCAGCCAGCTAGAGATGAAACCTGGAAGGTACCAAGCTGCCCACAAGTTTACGAGGCAGCTGAGAAATGTCAGTAACTCAAAGAGATCTCTGCCTTCCCAGGGCACAAAATAGAGCCAAAGTGGAGCAGGTGAAGGCCGCAGAGGCAATGGCTACCAGTTCAGCAAGGTGTGAGAGGAAGCAGCTAAGTTACAACTAGCTCAGTGCGTGGCAGAGCTGATGGAGTGGGTTTCCTTGGGCTTGCAGCCTGCAGTTGGATTTTCTGGTATCTGGGAAGGAGTAAAGCCCGACTGAAGCTTTTGCCGTGGTTGTGGCTTTCCTTATGTTGCTCTTCCTTGCGGGTTCTCTGTTGTCTAACAAAAGCTGATTTCATGCTGTAGCCTTACCCTCAGTTGGGGTAGGAATAGTGAAAGGCCTGCCTGTATAGACACTGCAGCCCCTAAGTAGGCAACCAGAAAAAGAAGTTCAAAATGCAAATAAGCATGGAATAAATGAGCAAATGCAAGGTAATAATTCATGGAGGATGCAGGATGACTATTCAGAATAAGGGTTGTTTTGGAGAAAGTTAATTTTCCTCTTCATAGTGCATGAACAATTGGTCATTTAATGAAGATGACAATGGGAAATGAAATTGAGCAAAGAAGGTGTTGCCAGAGCGAACCTCGGGAACTCACTGCCACAAGATGCCAATGATGCCGAGAGCTTACTCAGATTCAAAAAGAAATTAATTACGTAAGTAGTGAGCTGCCAGATCGCCGAAGTCGTCGTTATGTTTTTCAGTCAGTGACAGGACAGGAGGTCAGGCTGATTCCAGCTGTGATTTAGATAGTGGAACGGCAGTGGAGCATATTAAACAGGACATCTGCGGCACCCACGTGAACGCCCAGTGAATCTGTCC